ACTAAATTTATGTATTTGAAGGAATTTGTGCATTTCCTCTAAATTGTGAAAATTATAGGCATAAAGATAACCTTTTCTTTTTAAAAAATAAGTATTTCCTTTGGAATTTTGCAGATTACAGAAAGTTATGAAGAAAGTGCATGAAGAAAGAATACCCACATCTGTGTCACTCAGCTTTCCCTCCTGATGTTTCTTATATTGTCATTGGAAGTTCATCCAAAGTAGGAGTCTAGCGTTGGTGCATTGCTCTCAGCCCCACTGTGATTCCTTCCTTGCTCCTATGACTGTACCTTCCATCCTTTCCTTCCTTGCTCCCTTCTTCCCACTGTCTTTCAGTTTTTTTGAGACAGGGGTTTCCCTGTGTATCTCCAGCTGATACTGTTCCTTTCTATCTCAGGACCCCACACTGTACTTCATTGTCATGCTTCTGTCCCCTCTGCTGCATAACTGTTTCTCACTTTGTTTTTTATGACACTGACACACACTGATCAGCTGTGTTGTAGAATGTACTAGAATTTGAATATGTGTAATTTTTTTTTCATAATTAGAATACATTTTGGAAAGAATAGCAGGTTTGAAGAATCTTTTCCATCACATTACATTGCGTCACATGACAGCCACAAATACCACTGTGATGTTAAACTAAATCCAAAGCCTGGATGTTTATCCATGAAACTTACTGTAGTTATCTTTGCAAACCCTATTTTTTTTTTTATTAATTTTTAGGTTTGTATATATAGCACAATGGGTTTCATGATGGCATTTTCGTATACAGTTCTTACCATTTCTATCCATGGCCCTCCCATCTACATTTTTGGTTATTAGCCTAGCCTTTAACACTGAGCCATTTCTTTAGCCTGGCCCTCCCCATTTACATGACCCCTCTTGCTGGGTCCCTTTCTCCCCTCAATAGCCTTCCCTTTGCTTTCCTGTCCATTCATCTTATTACCCTGTAGGCAAACTATTTTTTAGAAGCAAAATCACTTCAGTTAGTGTGAATGCTTTCCTGGAAAGAAGAACTCTCTGTCAGATATTCCTTGCCTTTCCTTTGTATGGAAGACTGGTCTCTTCTCACCAGCTCTCTCTCTCTCTCCCTCTTTCTGTCTCTTTTCTTTCTTTTTTTTTTTCAAGACAGGGTTTCTCTGTTTTAGCCCTGGCTATTCTGGAACTCATTCTGTAGACCACGTTGGCCTCAAACTCATAGAGATCTGCCTGCCTCTGCCTCCCAAGTGCTGGGATTAAAGGTGTGAGTCACCACCACACGGCCCCAAATCTCTTTTGATTAGTGACTACATGGTATATTGTTTCCATTCTTTTACCTAAACATTTTTTATTTTATTTATGTGGTTTGTCCATACGACTGTATGTACACATGTGTGTATGGGTACCCACGGAGGCCAAAAGAGGGTACTAGATCCCTTAAGAACTGGAGTGACAGGCGTTTGTGAGTCACTTGATGTGGGTGATAATGCTGTAATCCAAACTCTGGTTTTCATGATTGAGTAGTAATTCTCTTAATTTCTAAGCCATCTCTCCAGCCCCCATTTTTTTCACTCTTTAATCTTAATTGTTATATTTAAAGACGAATTCAGGGAGCTGGGGGAATGACTCAAAAAGCAAGCATGATTACTCAAGTTTGGATTTCCGGAATCTAAGTAAAAGTTGTATGTGGCAACAGACATCTGTAACCACAGTACTGAGAGAGTGCAGAGACAGGTGAATCTCTGGAGCTTACTGGCCAGCTAGTTTAGCAGAATCAGTGAGCTTCAGGTTCAGTGACAGTCCCATCTCAAAAAAATAAAATAAAATAAAATAAAATAAATAAAATAATAGAATAAAACAAAACAAAATAAATAAAATAATAAAATAAAAGGTGGGGGTTGGAGAGATGGGTCAGCACTGGCTGTTCTTCCAGAGGACCTGGATTTGATTCCTAGTACCCATATATCATCTCACAACTGTCTATAACTCCATTTCCAAGTGATGTGATACCATCTTCTGGCCTCTTTGGGAACTACAGCACATGGTATATAGACACACATGCAGGCAAAACACATTAAAAGAAGTCTTTTAACCATTGAGTTAAGAGACTTTTAATACTGAGCTTTAACCTTCATTGTATGCATATACAACAAGCACATGTACAAACAAATACACATAACATATTTTTATATACTACCTATATTTTTATAGGTAGTATATAATCAGAAGTAACTAACTGCTTAAAGAGTATTTAGATGTGTGGTGTGGCTCTAATCTGGAGTATGATTCCTAGGCTCATGTTTAGAGGACTTGCCCACACACATGATTCCAGGGCCTACATATGTTGTTTTGCTTTTCCAGTCATGATGAAATATAACCCTCTGAAACCATGAACCAGAATAAATTTTAACTCCATTAAGGTGATTCTGTCAGGAATTTTGTCACAAGGGACAAGAAAAGTAATTCCTAAAAGGCATTTTTTTAAAATGCTGTTTTAATGGCAAGATAAACCCACCACCCTCCTAATGTTTCTGTTTGTCTGTGTGTGCTTTTTTGTTTATTTTATTTATTTATTTATTTTTTTGAGACAGGGTTTCTGAAGGGACTCTAGCCACCCTGAACATGGCAAACATGGCTCTTGCAGGCCTTACCCTTCTTCCCAGTTCCTTTGCCTTGCTAAAAAACCATTAGATTACATTCCTAAAGCTAGCCCCAAGGTCTATTCCTTCATTTGGTCACTTCCTCCTCCTAAGGCTAACTACCAAGGTCCAGCTACCTCCACAATCATAAGCCTCCTTTGGCTGCTCTAATATGTCCAATTAAAATCAAACAGCTTACCCTAACACAGGGGTTTCCCGTTTACCTTTATAAACTGCCATTTGCCTATAGGCTACATCTGTCTCCTTTTTATCCAGAGGCAGTCCTTTGTCCCTCTGGGACAAATATTCCTTTCCCCTCTCCCTTATTTCCTCCCCCCTCTCCCTCTATCTCCTGTCTTTGTCTCTTATTCCTTGATCTCTGTCCCTTTGGGGCAAATGAATCATCTTTGTGCTGAAAACTTGGTCTTGGAGTGTCTTGTGCTGAAACTGGTCTCCTCAGGTTCTCTGTGTAGCCCTGGCTGTCTTGGAACTCAATCTGCAGAGGGCGGCCTGCCGCCCTCAAACTCACAGAGATCCACTTGCCTTTGCCTCCCAAGTACTGGGATTAAAAGGCATGCTCCACCACCACCACCAAACTGTGTGCTTTTTTTTTTTTTAATTCTTCCTGGAAAATACTCTGAACACTCAGCATTGAGGGCCTAGTTGTATGAAACTGTCTTTTTTTTTTTTTTTTTTTTCTTTTCTGGTAGTTTCAGAGTCAACAATATACATCTTTAACTTGATGCTGCCCACTTTCCAACAATGTCACAGCAGTTTCTATAGAACATAAAAACCAATGAAGCACGCTCCCATGCTCTACTTCGTGAACCTGCTGTCATGCACTGCTGTTTATGCAACAACATAAAATATATTGCTATATTTTAACTTGTGTACTTAGTTATTTTTTTATAAAAATGAAAATGAGAACATACCCATCTTACATTGACCCATACATTGACTGTTTCTGGCTGTCTTCACTCCTTGGTCATATATGCTTCCTTATGTTAGTGCCCACCCTCCAAGAACTTCCTTTGATAACAAGTATTTCTCTGTTTTTTTGTTTTGTTTTTTTTTTTTGGTAATCTGAAAAAAAAGTTTAAAAATGTCTGCTTTCATCTTTGAAAGCATATTTTTAGTAGATAGAGAGTATGTAGATTGAAAACTTGTCTTTTACTGGGTGGAGGAGGCAGTGCCTCCCAGTACTCAGGAGGAAGAGGCAGATGGATCTCAAGAGTTTGAGGCCAACCTGGTCTATAGAGCAAGTTCCAGGACAGCCAGGACTAAACAGAGAAACCCTGTCTTGAAAAACAAAACAAGACAAAGAAAAGAAAAAGAAAACTTTTATATCATGACTTTAAAAAAATTATCCCACTATGTTCATGGCTTACATAGTTCCTGACACGAAGAAGCCTGCTGGAACTACTACTTCCTGTTAGAAACTTTAGATTTGTTTCTTTATTACTGCCTCTGAGAAATCATCACAATTTGCCACTGTGTGGATTTTGGTCAGTCCAGTGTGCTTGTATCAGGCTCTCTGTCTTAGTTACACTTCTATTGCTGTCATCAAACACCATGACCAAAGGCAACCTATAAATGACAAAGTTTAATTGGCCTCATGGTTCCAGAGAGTTAGAGTGCACTGGGGAGGAGTGAAGGCGTGGTGGCAGGAGGCTGGACAAGCGGCTCAGAGCTCACATCTTGATCCAAAAGCAGGTGGCAGAGGGAGCTAACATGAAATGAATCGAGTCTCTTGAAATCTGCCCCAGACGACTTAACTTCCTCCAGGAAGGCCACAAGTAACCCCCTCAAACAGCCACCCACTGGGGACCATGTGTTCAAATGCTGAGATGTATGAGGGACATTTCATATAAACCACCACATTCACTGAGCTTCTCAGAGCTCTTAGTTTTTCACTTTCATCAAGACTTGTGAAAGCTGACTATAAACTCTTTAAAAGTTGTTTCTGTCTTCCCCTACTTTCCTCATTTTCTGGGACCCAGCTGCATGTATGGTAGTCCTCTTGAGACTGCTAATGTTTCATCTTTGTTTTTCTTGTTATCAGGCATCATCAGACGAACGTTTCCACCTTTGCCATAATAACCCTAAGCACCTTCCCGGCATTTCTCTTTCATGATAGGAACCTGAGGCCAAGATGGAAAATAATTTACTCAAGTTACTTTCTATCCTCACTGACACTTCATTTCACTAAAAAGGTACTTTGCAATCTGCCATCTTCAGTAAGTCCTACATTGTAAGGAGATTTTTTGGTAGTGTCACTGAACAGTGCCTACCACTATCACCTCAATGTATCTCCCCACCTCTCCAAGCCCCAGAACCACAGCACAAGCACTCAGCAATCAAAACTCACACGTTACCTACCACATCATTTGGAAGGCTCTGGAGGTCATCAAAAGGAGTTTCCAGGGTGTTGGTGTCCACGTTCAAGATCACAACATCATCTAGGGCCATGTTTCTGACCTTCTGCAAGTAAAGAAAGTCCAGAATCACTGCCACAGCCCCAGGTATATATGGCTCACCTTTGTTGCTCATGTAACAATCACAAAAACTCTCCAACCTGAATGATCACTATCCCCCGGTCCCCAACTTTCAACCTTCAGCAGTGAAGGCCATTTCACAGAGGCTAGGTAACATGCCCTGGGTCAAACAGCTAAGAAAATGACACTCTGTTGTAATGTAATAATGTCACAGACACTGTCTGGCATTCCGACTCTATCTTCTAGGACACATCATGGCACCTAAATAGACAAATTTTGAGGCTCCTCTTAGGCGGAGAATGGTCTATGCTGGTCGGAGCCTCTTACAAGTTGATTAAAAAAAAAAGTCAAGAAACAGAATCGTAGAATATTTCCATGTAACGGCCAGAGTCTCTAAGTCTTGCTATAAATTTTCCAGGAGCCAGGGAGCAGTCCCCAAACCTATATGATCACCTTGTAAGCATGTACTAAGAACTTTCCATGGATGGAGAGCCAAAGAGGTCTAACAAGTTTCTTGACCAATGCATTTTCTCTCCCTTCTGAAACCCCACCATTCTGTTAACTGTGGCCTTACTTGAAGGCTGGGTGCAAATGAGAAGGTGTTGATAATGACACAGCTACTTGGGTGCTCTGCAGAACTGTGTCTTAATCAGCACAAGCCCTATTTGCAGAGGAGTACACTGAGAATCAGAGAGGACTTCAGGACTTAGCAGCCTTGCTGCACTCCAGCAGGTTAAATCCTTGGGTGTACCACAAGGAAGTTACATGAAAGTCAACCACAATCATTTCTCCCACTAAGGCCACACACATTTCAGAGCTCACAATTGTCTGCTCCATTGGTTTTCTTTTCCACCAGAAGCTAGAAGGTGTGGTGTTACCACCCATTTCAGAGATAAGAAATGGAGGCTCCATGAAGTGATGAAGCTTGCTCAAGGTGGCACATCTACCTGAATGTCTGCATCTGTGTAAGTGTAATAGATGTCCCCCTCACTTCCTACCAGGCCCTCTAGGCCCGTGGTTCTCAACTTTCCTAATGCTGCAATCCTCTAATACAGTCTTTCATGTTGTAGTGACCCCTAACCATATGATTATTTTCACTGCTACTTCATAAACATGATTTTGTTGCTGTTATGAATAATAATGTATTTTTGGAGATAGAAGTTTGCCAGAGGGGTCACGACCCACAGGTTGAGAATCATTCCTTTAGGCTGTCATGAAGACCAGAGGTCATATATGCCCTGTGCTAGGCACTCAGTAGGTCTTAATCCATGGCAGCTATTACTACTACTTTTTAATATAGGCTCTCAGAAGAGCTGCAATTGGAATGGCCTGTTGGTGGTAACAGCTTGGCTCTCACTTCAAAGGCTAATGATTGCCATCAGAGGCAGAATAGGAGTGGTGATGAGGAATGCCAGGCTGGGAGAACTGAGCTGAGGATCACTGTACTCTAGCATCTCTTGTCTTGCCTCATCTGACCCTCCCAATACCTCCAAACAGAAGGGGCAGGAGGCAATGGCCACTGGAGAGTGGTCCTGGGGTTGAAAGGCCTTGTGAGTGGGTGTTGAGTATGGATCAGAATCGGGCCTTGTTTCTGTGTTCCCAGAGCTGCCCCAGCAACACAGACGAACCCTTGTGGACTCTCGGCTGGAACAGGCTTTTGATTTCCTTCCACTCCTGGCTGGAGGACTTGCCGATTAAGCTGTGTGGAGTGTTTACTTTTTCAACAATGGCAGCAGGCTGAAGAAGAGGAAAAACCCTGGCCTCCTTTCTTGACTTAGCAGGCCAGGGTCCCCTTAGTAACCAAATTGTCCCCAGCACTGGGCTCTAGGCAGGAGCTGGGTTGGCAGTTTCCTCTCATGGGACAATGTTGCCCTGCCGGTGGTAAGGCCTCTCCTAAAGGGGCTGGCATGGGCTCAAGGGGCTTCTTGAAGCTCAGAGTTCCCAAGGAAAGAATGACAGGCAGCTTGGCTGGAGGGTGCTCTCTCCTGTAAGGCTGTGAATGGGAGTGCTAGCGGAGAAGGATGGCTTTTGAGTGCTAGTTAACTTCTCTTCAACATCATGTTGGAGATAGCCTAGTCTCCAGGTCAAAGATGGAGGCTCAGAGACTAAGCAAATTTCCCAGTGCCACACTGCTGGGGAAGGCAGCAGACCTTTCTATGGAAGGGTCTGACCCTAACACCTCTCTGAGGAGACTCTCAGGACTCACGCTGAGCACCTGTGCGGAGCAGGCAGGCATAGCTGACTCTCTTCAGACCTGCTTTCCCCTGTGCAAAACCACACTTGCCTTTTGTAACATAAAATTATATATGCCTATTATGCAGAAAGAAGCTTACTGCTTGGAGCAGTCATTCTAAATTATTCCTTTTGTGTTCCTGCTTTCTTATCATTGCTCTAAATCCTTTGCAGTGCTCCCCTCCCCATTTTTCTCATTGATTACAGCATAAGCAATGCTGCACTTCATGAAAAGCTAAGTGACAGTTACTAATTGTTCCAGAGTGTTCTGTTACACGGAGGCAAACTTAACCAAGGCCACTTGGCTGAATGTTACCTGCAGTGTTTAACACATTAATATATATGACATGGCCATGAAGTCTGAAGGCTGGGAGCTCTATGCTTCAGGACAGATTCCTAGAAGTGAATTTTAGTTCTTACTCCTTAAGAAGTATCCCTGGTGAATTCAACTTGGAGAGATATCTTTTCTTCCAATTATTTTAAAGCCATTTTATCCACAGCTTGTGTTTCCTACTCTAAGTGAAGAAAAATCAGCAAAGACACGAGCAGATGTCAAAATAGTCCTCCAAAAATCCTACCCAATTAGAACACTTACGAGTACCGCGGCACACCGAGACAGCTCTCCGGTAGCTTGTCCCACCAACACATTCACTCTCTTTTTAGTTACAGCATATGCCACGGCTCCTGCCAGCTGCAAACCCTTCCCCCACCAGACTCCATAGGCTTCTCCTCAGAATGGAAAAAAGGGGGGGGGGGGAAACCAACAACAAAAAAATCCCCCCAAATAACACTGACATACATACTGGCTTTCCAAATGACATGTCTTACACACAAACAGCAGTATCTCATCAATATTATTCATTAAAATGTTAAAATGTCTTTCCTGTGTACTTTTGTCAAAGTCTTAGCTTGACCCCTGTCTGGGTCAGGCAAGGGGTAACTTACAGCACATGAGGTGATTAGAAGTGGCTGAGAGGGCACCAATTGTCTAAGAGTCACCTCTAACTCGTCCACAGCACATGGGTAGCCTTAAGCATTGCACTGGACATCACAAACCCTCTAGGCTCCCAGTTGAGAAAAGAGAAGGGATGATACTAGCCCTATCCTCACTGTTTTATGGCTAGTTTTTATGTCAATTTGACACAAGCTAGAGTCACTAGAGAGAAGGGAACCTTTTAAGAAATGCCTTCATGCTGGGTGGTGATGGTAGATGGTGGTAGAATACACCTTTAATCCCAGCACTCAGGAGGCAGAGACAAGCAGGTCTTTGTGAGTTTGATGCCAGCCCAATCTACCAAGCTAGTTCCACGACAACCAAGGCTATATAGAGAAACACTGTCTCAAAAAAAAAACATAAGCAACAAACAAACAAACAAACAAACAAACAAAAATGCCTTTCCTAAGATCAGGCTGCAGGCTAGGTTGTAGAGCATTTTCTTGTCTAGTGATTGATGGGAGAGGATCCAGTTCATTATAGATGCTATCATCCCTGGGCAGGTGGTCCTGGGTGCTATAAGAAAGCAGCCTGAGTAAGCCATGGGAAGCAAGCCAGAAAACAGCACCCCTCTATGGCCTCTGCATCAGATCCTGACTCCAGGTTCTTGCTATACTTGAGTTGTTGTCCCAACTTCTTAAAAATGAACTATGATCTGGAAGTGTAAGCCGAATAAACCTTTTGCTCCCCATGGTGTTTTGCTGCAGCAACAGAAACCCTGACTAAGATACTCACTGTGGTACTTAGATATGCTGATGTGTGGTAAAGAGTTTCTGCATAATTTCCAGAACTTGGTGGCTCTGGGCTCAGGCACCCCAATAGCCTGCATAGCATAGTTATTGGGACCTGGATGTCCCACAATCAGAGCAACATGTTGATCTAGGTTTATTTATGCAGTACTATCTCACTGATCCTTTGCCCTGTCTCTTGGTTTCCTACTTGAGTTCCTACCCCAATATCTGGCCCACAGTGGACAATTCTTAAATGAGTAAATGAATGAAGGTGGGGGTTGGGAGAGAGGAGTAACAGAATCCACAGGTGAGTAGCACACACCCTACATCTAGTCTGAGTTCTACTTAACCACACCAGCTATACCAACGTGGGCAAGTCAATCTTTCCACGCCTGTTTCCTTTCTTCTGGGTTCACATGAAGACGCTATCCTATCAGCTTGCTGTGAGTACTAAATGGGCTAACATTTTAAAAGTATTTAAATAGTGCCTGACACACAGAAAGTGCAAGGTAAGTGTTGAAGTTAAAAACTGATGCTCTTTCATGGGTAATAGGAATGTGCCAAATCTTCATTATGGTGGTGGCTTAAAAACTGTCAAAATTCATTGAACCATACACTTTAAATGGATGGTTTGTTGTGCATAAATTATACCTCAGTGCAGTTGATAAACCCATCAGGATGATGTCTAGAAGGCAGAATAAACTCACACTAGACTTAGAAAGGACAAGGGGTACTTCCCAGGGCCACCCTGAAGACCTTTGACACCTATGCCCTTTATGGCAACATGGGAACTTCAAAAAATGTTGGTACCTTGTGTCCTCTTAGGGTATGTCTAAATACCCAATGTCCAGGAAGGGGATCTGGCAGTTAGTGAAAAGGCAGAACTTACAATTAAGAGGAAATGATGGCTCTAAACAGAACGGAGGGATGTAAATACGAGGAGCAAGCAGTGGTGGCATGGGAAACCAACTGACTGAAAGTTGAGGAGCAGAGCCCAGCTCTAGTCACCTTAGTCTCCTCTAACTGACT